CAACCATATTATTTACATGATATGCGGGTAGGAGAATCCCAGTGAATTGTATACCCTTCAGGTCGATAGCAACCTCGATTACATACTTTTCCACTTCTAAAGATATAAGAACAATGGTAAAATCCCATATCTAAAGTTTTGCTAATATGTTTTTTAAGTAGTATATATTGTCTAACACTAATTACCTAAAATAATTAATTTTTATTTTGAACTTTTCTCTAACCACTATTATAGTTTCAAATAATAACATAATATGACTACCCAAAACTTTCAAGAAAACATCGATCATGCACCAGCAGAATTAGAAGCATCACTCTCTTGATCAGAGAGCTCAGAAAACTCAGAAAATTTCGAGCCAGAGATGAAGGAAGGCTTTTCGAGCTATTGCGTAGCAATAGAAAATAGCGAGGCATTCTATCGCTGGGAGTTTAAAGCCGAAAGTGTAACTGAATATCCATACAATATCTGGGATGATAGCATGAGACCTAGAAAATTTCTCAGAACAAATTCTGAAGATGGAATAGAAGCCATACTTACAGATCATCAGGGCCATTCGTTGCATAAATTTATTGATAAAGATGATCTACTTCGTCCTATTATTGATTTTGATTTACCAAGAAAAAAATTTGATAAAATCAAACCCAAGTTTACACTTAAAGAGATAAAAAATACACTTTATAACGCTTTTACAAAAATTTGTTTGGATATATTTCCAGAATGGGACAAAACTATTATCACTATTGTCAGTAATAGTGATTCAAAAAAAATGTCTTATTATATCTCAACATTTGGAATGCATCTAAAGAATATTGTCAAAGTTACAGTATTTACCGAACTCATTCGTGAGAAACTTCCAATGGGTTTACGAGATAAAGGAATTGTTGACAATATCACAAATAAAAGATCATTTTCATTATGAATACTTGGAACACCAAAATTTATTGAAAAAATGAAAGAACACGTATATGTAAAGAAAGCATTAGATTCCAAAAATAGGAATGTTTTTGATTTTATGCTTCGTCCTCCTAATAATGAAGGGCCAGTTATAGATAGTCCTATTTTAGATATTCTGGAAGAAAAAAATAGGGTTTTTGACCCATTATAAGGTAATAAAATCGAAGCTGGGACAATTGGATCTAAAGTAGAATATATAGAAAAATTACTTGAAGAGTATAAAATCGAAGATTTTGAAGTTTTATATTCTTCACTGACACTTCCAAATGTATTTCCCCTAAATCGCATAGCAGAATCTCAATGCCTACTCTGTAATCGGAAGCACACTAGTAATAATGCATATGTAATCCGAAATAAGAAAACTTATCAATATTATTGCCATCGAGTGGATCAAGAAACACAAATAGGCACAAAAAAACTCTTATTAAAACTTACTTTGAATGTATCAGTCTTGGAACGGGAAAATAGTCTTCCATTTTTAGAAAAAATAGAGCGACCCAGAATCTCAGATCCAAATGATCACTTTGTATAAGGTGATTTAATTCATATGTGCACTTCTAAGAAAAATTTTACTTGGAATGAAGTATATAATGCAATCCAGGCTACACTTGCTTGCATGGTAAAAGATAAACGAACATGGATTCTTAAACACAGAAAACCAGATGGTAGATTATACTTTGGAATAGCACCTACTCTTAATTTTGATAAAATAACTATTAATATAGTAGAACTTGGAGGAGAACCAATAAAATTGATCTCTTTGATAGATCGTATATATGATAGCAAGGTGATTATTTATGATGATATCGATTTCTTACCATATTCACCTAATATTGAACAACCAAAAAACAAATTCTTTAATCTTTTCTTAGGATTCAAGGCTAAACCGGCACCTCGAATTAATTATGATCTTGTAAACCCGATTATATGACATATGGAAAATATTTGATGTGATGGGAATAAAGTTCTTTCTACATATGTTCTCAAATGGTTAGCATTTTTAGTTCAGTATCCAGCAATAATTGCAGGTACAATTCTTGTTTTGCGTTCGTCGCCACGATATGAAAAAAATATTATTACTGATTTTATTTGAAAAAGTTTATTCAGTCCGGAGCTTGTATATTCAATGTCTGATTTAGGCAAAATTTTGGGAAAATTTAACAGTAGTATTCAAAGACATAAACTTATAATTATGAATGAAGCAGGAATATTAAGTGAAGAATGGCATAAGTCAAACGATCACTTAAAATCTCTAATTACAGAAGATTATATCTCAATTGAGCATAAAGGTCTCGAAAATCAAGAATGTGCCCATTTTCCTGGATTTATAGTATTAAATAATCATGATGCTCCAATTCGTGTTAAGCAAGAAGATGGTCATATTGTATATTTAGATATTTCACTTCGATGTAAAGATAATTTTAAATATTTTGATCAGTTGGGAAAAATTCTCAACCATCCCAATACACCTAGATCTTTTATGTGCTATTTACTTGATCAAGACCTTTCGAATTGGAATCCACAAGAAAACATTCCTACCACTAAAATAAAAACAGAAACAATGTGTAAGCATCTTCCAAATCCCATCTGATTCATAATTGATTATATTTCAGTATGGTTGAAGATCAAATTGAAAAACCAAGTTGTGCTACGTTATATCAGAAGTATTGTACATGGTGTGAAGCTAATGGTAAAAAGTCATTCAGTAGTAATAATTTTGGGAAAAAAATTCCACAGGTTGACATTGAACGAAAATGTGCTGATGGTGGAAAAAGAGAATGGCAGTATATCCTCGATCGTTCCAAAATTGTGGTCAAGCTACGTGAATCAGTAGATAATATCGAAGAATTTTTAGACTTACCTCAAACCGAAATATCCACCAACACATCCACAGATATTCCTATATTCAATGTCCCAGAAATCATAACTTCTGAACTGAAAAAAATAAAATCCACCTCATCAAATACCAATCGTATCGAAAAAGGTAAGAAAACATCCACCCCCCTATTACTAATACGATCCAGGATCTCTTCGATTCAATAATAGATAAACTGGAATTTCCAGTTGCTTCGTCATCAGTGTCTATTGCAAAGCAGGCCGTATTGTGGAACAATGGTACTTGTGTGCCTAGGCAATTCTCTGAATCATGGAACAAAGTTCCTATCGATATATCTCCATCACCTGAGATCATATATGTAGAACCTATTGACGATAAATCTGAACTTCCTTCCAAAATCTCTCCCAGCTTACCTGTAAATGATTAATCAAAAACCAGTAACGAAGAAAAGATAAAGTCTCGAATCTCTGATTCAACTCCCACTCAGATAGCATACCCGCCTGGTTATTTAACCCGAGAATAATGAAAGGTACATCTTCGTGAAAAAGCCATTGAACTTGATGAAGATCCTGACAAATTCGTTACTATTACTGAAAAAGATAAGCTCGATTCTATAGCATTTTGTGATAGAATATAGACTGATGCAAGAATGTGTAGTTATGCAAAGGAGGCCGAAGAAGACCCCAGTGAATATATGGATATGTCAGTACAAGAAAGATTAATAAGTGAAGAAATAATCCACCATTCTCTTGAAAAAAGATAGAATCACTTTATCATGGCTTAATACTGATGAGGAATGGAAAAAAACTATTAACATACTCCAGGAAAATGGTTTGTTATAGTAACTGTTTAGTCAATAAGGAGCAAATAAGATAGGTTTTATAGGTATAAACATCCAAAGGAGAGGCTTTTTTGTCTCTACAAACAAGTAAATATAAAATTTTCCAATAAAAATATTACAAAAAAAACCTGATATATATCTCAAATATATTGTAACTGTTGAAACGTATCAGAATTTAGCCCAAGCATTATAAAAAAATAAAAATAAATAGTAAACCTTAATATAGCCTGGATCACAACTTCAAAACTATATGCACTGTGCATATGCGAAGCAAATTTTTTCGTTATATCCTATATATTATTTAATTTCAAATCGACAGATGTATATTATATGCTTGATATATATTATGTGCTTGATATATATTATGTGCTTGATATATATTGATTATTTTTTCCAAAACCTCTAAGTAACACTATATCCTCTCTGATCTCATTTATATTTTTAGTAATTTTATTACATAAAGCTACTGATTCCAAGACTTTTGATCGATCTCATGTCTTATTCACATCTATTTCTTGATAGAATTTCAATAATCACTACCTATTCAGAGTATAGCTATACTAATCTGCTGATAATTAATTTCGAATTGAAAAAATATATTCATAGTTATAGTCCACACAAATATCCCAATCAACAATGTCAAAAGTTGCAACAAATTTCATGAATCAATATAACTTGACTCCTCAGATGAGTATAGCTGAGCTTGGTAATTATGTTGAAAAAATATGTAAAAAGATTAAAGATTATAAAGCCCATAATCATGCTCGGAATAGAATCCAGAAGTTGGGATTTAGCAAAGATCAAACATATGCTTTAATTCCTATCCAAGCTTCTGGAAGACGTGTTATAGGTCATGACCCAATTAAAAAACTCACTCAATATATTAAGGAAAATGAAAACAATCTTGAACTGGAAGAAATAAATACACTAGCATATAACTTAGCTAAAACAGCTCTTATCATAATAGCCCAATTATCACATCTTAAATTACTTCGAAAAGAATTACGCAATCTCAATGCTAATCATATTACAATAGAATCTATATATATTCCAGATATTACTTAAAGATCAAATAAAGAACAAGCAATAAATCAAGAACTTTGTGAAGATGAGGGATTCGATTGTCCTGAATTCTTTTATCTGGAAAATGTTTAGGAAAGACTTAGTAAGTGTAATATAACAAAACCATCTTCTATGTAGAATTTAATAGACATAATGATAATGTTATCTATGAGACCAGCAGATGTAGGAAACCTCTGTATCAAATATTATAAAGCAGATAGCACTGAATGGTATAATCCTAAATATTCTTGGTACTGTACTGGATATGCCAAAAATAAAAAAGATGAATCTAGACCATTAGTATCTATGAAGAAAGATCTGTTACTGACTAGAGAATTACTTATTTGGATTCAGAAAGCAATTCCTAACGAATTCCCATTTTTAATAAGAGATAAAGACAGTGATGTAAATATTCATCCAATTAATAATTTCCTAGCAATTTATGGAATAAGCTCATCACATTTGAAAAAAATTGATTCTGAATATGCTATTACAATTTATGGGAATAAGAATGATTCCAAACGTAAACGTCTCTATCAATTAGTATTAAGACAAAAACTAATTAATATTGCATCAGATCATTATGGTATAATGAATAACAAACTGAATATTCCAATACTTAGACCAATTTCCTCTATGATTAAACAAGAATACAAAGAAATTGAAGATATCTATAATTTATATGGGAATATTTAGATTAGCAGTTATTAATCATCAGATGTGATATCATTCTCACTCTATAAGTTACTATTAAATAAATTATAGGTTTCTATTTTTTATGCAATGTAATATGCAATGACCAGCTCCTTCATCAATACAACAGTGATTTCTACAGCAACCTAGACTATTTAATATGTGTTTTTCACAATAGCTTCCCAAATTAGGGTCATGAAATAATTTATCACATTTTTTGCATTTATAAAAACAATAGAAATATTTGCTTTTATTAAGTTTTTTACTAATTTTTTTATATAACGAAATTCACTTGTTTTTTCATAATCTTTAGGTATATCAATATCTGTATCAAGATACTCTACAGATACTTTAGGGGTAATGATTTGATCCATATTATTTCTATAAATATAAAATATTTCTTTTTTCCGAATATTACGTTACAATAATCTCAAAGAAGTGATATCACATATGCATATACTGGTTATTGATATAACAATTAAATAAAATAAAAGTTTTAGATAATGAAATCCACCTGTTTGTAATGACTACTATTCAAGAATATTTAAAGGAATTGGCAAAAGATAAATATGTCCAATATAGATTAACAGAATATAGCTTGAACTATATTAACAATAATATTAAAACATCAGAAGCATGGTTACGATTTGCAAAAATTTATTCACCAAAATATATACACAAGCATTTATTAAAATTAGGATATGAAATAAATAATAGAGATTATTGGGAGAATTTTGTATTTCATATCAAAAATAATTTAACCAGCCATAAGCAAATAGGTAATGACCCTGAATATAGAAATTTTAAAGTTCAACTAGTATTATATAAAAAAAACTGTGCATCATTAATTATTCAGAATACATATTGTTTATGGAAAAAACAAATATATTTGGCTAAAATAATTCAGCATACAATAATTAAATGGCTTTATCGACCAGGTGGATCATTTATGAAACAAGCCAAAGATCAATATTATTGTGTTGCAAGCTGAAGGGCAACTCTCTAAGTCATGGGACTTATTTCAGGAAAAATAGCACTAAGTGCTTGTCCCTATCAAAATGTGAAATAAGCTTCATCATTAGATAGAGTAGATCTTATTTCTACAATCAAGCCCTTTAGAAGATGACCCTTTGGATCATAATTATATTAGCTTCAGTTAAATTATTTATTAATATAAATTTAAAAATGTAGAATAAATATATTGTTATAATAAAATATTACAATAATAACTTTATCCTGTGAAATTAACAAAATACCAATTACAGCTATATTAGATTCTGGTGCTAATAAAAAACTCTTTTCCACAACTCTCCAATTTGTAAAAAATTTCCTTTTTTGGTAATTTCATGAACGGTAGACAGTAAACAGTGAGCGAAAATCTCTTCCTGGGAGAGGAGTTCATCTTAGCTTTCTGCAGGGTGCATAGGGTCGATTAACTCTCCATAGAGAGGTGGATGTTAAGGGATGGGCAGAAACCTCTTTGACTAAACCCTTTGCTTTACTGAGTGAAACCTATGTAAGCAACCTCCAAACAAAGAAAAACCTTTTTACTTATTCAAACACTTTACCACTTTATATACTTCAAAACCATATATACAATCAAATACAATCTTTTCTACAAGAGGCAGCATTTTATTTTTCCAGAGTTTTTGTTTTCTGCTAATGACAACTAGTGCCAGATTCATCATAATCTTCTGATTAGTTCTCAGTCCTCATCAATATTACTTCTACACTTACAAAAAAACCGAAATCAGTTTACCCCCATCTAAAGATCTATATTTTGCAAACAACCAATTATACTTTGTTTTATTTCATTAAATCAAAACAACACAACAACCTACTGGATTGGGAGAGTGCGATATCAGTGCCCTGCATGGGTTCCAGTAGTATTACCAAAACAAATCCAAATCAGGAAATATTATACAACTCTGTTTCACGTCCAAATACAAACTTGAAATCAATACTCTTAACAGTCAAAAGACTATCACAAATCAAAAACACTAAATCTGATCACCAAACTACCCATGCCAATCATTTACCTCAACTATAACAGCATCACAACAAATACTATAATAATGGAGTTGTGCCCCATGTTGCCCTGCTTACAAAGCAGCTAATGCTTGACCAGAGTGAGTAATTTAAGTTTGCGACTTATTAAGGATAGCAGCAGGCTTAGGGTAGAGCCAATGCCAATACTTACTGAAATTATTATCACTAATAATTTATTGGTTATGCCTAGTAGGGAAGGATTATTATAGTAACACTTTCTTTAATAAACTTGAATTTTTTTTTCTTTTATATTCTTTAATATGGAGAGGATTATTCCTCTATTTATAAATAGATAGTTCCTTCTACTTTTTCCAACTAGTGTTTTGTAGAACATATCTATATTAAAATAGCATAGGCCAATGTTTATAGCAACATATCTCAATGTATCCCTATTGTTGTAAATTTTATACTTAGTTAACTTTGTAAAAATTGAATTAATAATTAATAAAGATCACAATTTGAGATATGCCTCACAAAAAAAATAAAATAAACTATATAAAAAATCTATAAATTTATAGCATAGTGGTAATGTTTTATAGATTACCAGGGAAAGGTCTAAGATTCAAACACATTTGGTTACAAAAAATTTATTACCTTTATATAGAGTTTTTAACAATACCACTTTGATACTATTTTGATACTAGTTCAATACTTAAATTTATTATAAAAATATATAAGTAGGTTACAATCCATATATTAAATTTATTATAGATTGGTACCATTTATATACCAGTTCAATACTAGTTTGGTATTTTTCGGAGCCTTACTTTTATAATTAATTAACTGGCATTCAACATATGTCATAACTAATTAGTTATAAATCTCTTATTAAAAACAGCTAGATTGTACAAAGATGGAATCTATAATCTTTTTGACAATTATAAACTGAAAACAGATCAAAGCAGGAAAGACTTTTGGTCTAGTTTCCACATAAGCTTATTAATCAAAACTGGCATAGCAGACTCTATTATGCAAAAAAAATACATTAGTCTGAGATAAAGATGGGTCCCTAAATTAAAGGCAAGGACATAATTCAAATGTCTCTCACTATTAAAAAAGTTTTTTTTTAAAT